AATATAATGTATTGTTTATGCTTGAATGAGGAATTGGATGCTATTGTCACCTAAAATCTATAGCGACGGTTCTAGTAGCATAGTAATGTCGGAATTTCATTTTTGATGACAATTTTTTAGTTAGGGAAAATAATGGGGAATAGTTTTCAAAATAAGGTAACCAGAGTATCTACCTTAGTTCAGAATTATCCTTCCCAAACAAATTCACTTTCGAGAGAACATTTCGAATATAACTAATGATTGAAAGAAAAACCATGTTAAAGATCAGCATTCTTCTATATAGGTACCCTCCCCTCAATCGGATGTTTTACTATCAATAGTTAAAATTTAGTCTTCTAGAATTCAATATTTAAATACCTAAAAATCTACAAAACTCTCTACTCTTTTAAATCTTCTATATATACTTTACAAATCTTTACGAGCTCTACAATATTTTAAAATATTTTAATTTCTCAATACTCGGCAATTTTCATTAATGTAAAAGACTCTAGAACTCAGCACTTAATCATATCAAAAAAGAAATGAAATTATTTTAATAAATTTATCTTTACTATTTGTCTGTGATTAAAATAAAATTAAAGAAGAAGATAATATTAGTAGTTTACCTTTACTATTTGTATGTGATTAACATAAAATAAAATAAGTCTAATTTGGATAAAAAGTATTGAGTTAGAAATAAACTTTATATCATAAATTTTACCTAAGGCAAGATCCATCACTGTAGCTGCACATTAAGTTTAAACTGTTAGGATTTATATGCCCTGGCATAACAAATTCCTATTTGGATTAAAGTGACATATGTTTCTGACATATCTAAAATATTTATGATTTATATAATTGGTGAATTCAATGTATTATGTTTTGATTCACTATGAAATTGATAGTGTCCCTGTAATTACAAGAAATATTTATATATATGTATGTGATGGCAATCAATGCATGATATATAAATAGTAATTATAAATTGTTCATAATCGGTAATTATGGATGGACTCATAATTAATTAAGACTTGAACTGGATCCGCGTTAGGTTGAGATATATTGCGAGAACCGTCGTATGCAATTGCTTCCTATCACCGTCATGGCATTTGACTCTTAAGCATGAGAAAATTATAAACTCTTTTATTAATTAATAAATACTTTGATTTGTTCGGCGGATACTTCGGGATCCTTATACCGACACTTTGGGTAGTTATGTAATTAATAGTTAGATGGTTATATTTTCGATATTTGCATCATTGCTACTTGTATTTATTTTGTATTGATTATGGTTGATCACAAAGTAAATTCGAAGGCCTTCGTATGTTTTTAGACAAAATGATTTATTATATATTTATTTATTTAAATTATTATTTTTGTCAAACAAATGTTTTATTGTGATCGAGCCAGAAATAATCAAAGGTACCAAAATAAATATATTAATTAAGTAGTCGGATTGATGGCTTTATTTATCCGATAACTAATTATGCATAGAGGGGTCAAAGTGCAATATTGACTTAGAGGTTATTTATTATTTAATTGGAGTTCAATTAATTTCTTTTAGTGGAGCAGAAATTAATTTATGAATTAATTGAATTGAGTCCATGGACCGGGCCAATTATTAATTCATTGTAGCCAATAAAATAATAGGCCCAATGGATTCTCACTCATAGCCCAACTTGATATTGGAATCATATTAGATTTGAGACATGTGAATTAGAGATTGAGAAGGATTTGTAGTTTCCTTTTCTTTATCTATGTTGCCTATAAATATACATGGTCTATGTATATTTTTGGGGGTGATTTTTGGAAGAAAGAAATAGGAATCTATTTTCTCTCTCTAGAAAATTAGGGTTTATGTTCTCATCTAATGGAGGCTTCCACAAGCCTAATTTTCAAGGTCATTCATGGAGGCTTATGAGTGATTTCTAAAGGCAAAACCATTATCAAGAAGATAGAGATCCATGGAAAAGGTGTCTAACAAAAGGGATTTACAATAAGTGAGAACATTCACTTTAGAGGAGAGATCTAAGGTTTACTCAAATCTTGATGTAAGTATTCAATCTTTTAATTGAATGATACATCATATTTTATTTTTACATAAAACTTGTCTCTATGTGGTGAATCAAAATCTATGAATCAAAATTCCTCAAAATTTTTTTAAAACTAGCACGTTTCCCAACATAAACAACCCTTGGAATAAATGGAAATCTGAAGATATCAATAACGTGCAAATGATGGTGATTGGATCGGGATCAATGCTTTTAGGACTATATAATAATTTTTGGTTGTGTGCGTAGAGAGGTAAATTTATGATATAGTGTATATTACATTATCTGCATTTTCTTTTAAATTAGAGATTAGAGACCTTTAATTTAACGAGTGATAACACCTGAAGTTTGTTCATCAAAATTCAAAGTGGGGCATGGATGGGATAATTTAACAACCTTCTGTGAAACAAAAAAGGAGAAATTATTACATGTGAAGAGGGAGGCTTCAGTGGAGCTCACGCCTTTATCATTGTTGTGTGAAGTCATTGTTGACAAGAGTCTATCTCAGAAATCAGGTCATTGTTGTTGGTGTTGTGAAAATTACATATATTTATAAAAAATATAAAGTGCAATATTCATATATAATGATTCAAACTAACGAATAATCAAAGAATTATTCTTTATTTTCAGTAATATAATATTAATATTAGCTCAATATTATAAATCAAGAAACAAAACGATAATAATAAAATAGGTAAAAAAGGACTGGTCTGATTGTTGAGGCATGTGTAAACACATTAATCAAAATGATAGTCTTCCCCTTAATACTGATGTTGGCCAACCTAGTCAGCTCTAAGATATAACCCAATCAGCTCGCAACGGTGCTTCTTCCATGTGCACGACCGCGGGAAGATTAGGTCTAAGTCCATATATATAAGTCCAGTTGCTCATACACTCAATATTCAAACAACTCTAAAAAAATAAAATAGGTTTACAACCTTACAAAAGTGTCACTAAATGTTTTTACAATATATCAAGTACTATAAATGCTTTATATATAGACTATAAGTATAATTTAATTAGTGGAATAAAATTCCAATAAACCATAATACAATTTAATTATATTTTTATTAAAATATTCCCAACAGTTGGCAACTTTTTATTGGGAGCAGGGAATCAAATTCTCTCGCGTACACATTTTTTCTCAAGCAAATTCACCACGAAGTTTCACCATTTTGAATGGTGAAATTCTACGAAATTTTAGTAGTGAAAATTTCACTAGTTAAAGTGGTAAAATTCAATATACAAAATAATACAGTATTGTTTTTGAGAGGAAAAAGTTTTCAAAAGTTTGATTATCATTGCTCTTTGATAAATAGTGACATAACACTTTTTGTGCACTTATAATTTCGTACGAGGAGATACCACTAGAAATAAGTACAGTAAAGTGACCATCATTTAGTGATCACCATACTGCAATCATCCACTGTTCTTCAACAATTAGTTTTAGGTCTTGTTAGTTGTTACCAAATTATCATATTTTTCTTAAAATCTAACTTAATTCTAACATATATATATAGTGAGCTAAGAGTGATAAAGCTAATCAAGTTCATATATTATAGGGATGAGTACAAAAAAACTACTTGAAGTATACTTTTCATAATACTTCTGCTCCCTATTTATTAAAAAAGGTGTACAAAAATTAACCCTATACAAACATCCCTCTATTAATATAATACTCATTTTATTCTTTTATTTTTTCAAAAATGCCCCTACCATTTAATACTTATATTTATAACATTTTTATTCTTTAAAAAATGCGCCTACCATATAATACTTATATTTATAACATTTAATAAAATAAAGATGATTTCCATAGCGTGATTCTGATGTGTCAGCCGATATCTAGGGTCGGTTCAAAGGGCGACCCCTCAAGCAAGGGGGAATTCTTGCCTATTTTTAGACATCAAATCTTCCTTATTCAGAAGCTATATTTAGATATTCCCAGAACGCGAAAGGCAAGCGAAAAGGCTTCATCAGGTTAGCCTGTTGCTTCCCATGAGAATCTTCAAGGGACTTTTTGATTTTACGCCATTAGAATGCGCAGGAGACCAATTTGGGTCTGAAACTTTAGGTTCGGAATCAAGTGGCATCTGCTTAAGAGGAGTAAATAGCAGCTTCAACCGAGCTTACGTCTTACGCGTGAACAGGAAGAACAGAAATCCTTTCTCTAGATCCTCTATTTCTAATGAATTTGATTTGTAATCTGGGAATCGAGCAGAACCTTGCGAGACCGCCCTCGTAGCTCGCCGGTTTTAATGGACACTTGAACTGGGCACGTCGTCACCGGAGTGGGTCTTGACAACTTCGAGTTCTTGTTCACCGACGGATCTACAACTCACCCGACGGATCTTCTCCGGTCTTCCCTTCGGCGGCGACTACCAAGATGAGAAGAAGAAGTAGGGCAAACCCTTTTTAGTCATTTCACAATTTATATATATATATATATATATTATAAAATATGTTGTTAAGGACATTTTACTTCAATTTTTATAAATGGAAACCATTTGCACAAATATGATATTTTTTTACACGGAGGCCTGTAAACATCTATAAGGATATTTTTTTTACGCTTGACTTATATATTATATCATTTATTATATAACATTCACAAAAAAAAAATCTCTCACGATTAAGTTTAATTTAATTTTTATAACATTCATAAATTTAATTTTTATTTTATAAAATCTACAAAATCAGTTTGGCATACATTGATAAATTTTTCCCATAAAACAATAATAAACAGCAAAGCCTTCTTTTGGCTGGTGGTAACTAACAAACAACAATGTTTATCAAATCCAACAAATCTCTTCATTTTATAATACAAGTAAAGGGTAATCTTGTCCATGTCTCTCGGTTGGTCGCAGCCACCACCGGTCCCAACTTTCACACGATGCACATGTTGATATTCCGTGTGAAAATCTAAACAAATATCACGTGCACATGCCGTGCAGAAATTGTTAAACGGTTACTCTAGTCTACACATTTCTTATCTATAAATATCCGGAAAAAGTAGAATTTACACACTCGGAGTTTCGGACCAGAAGATCATAACAGAGAGACGTACTTTACTTCAATGGCGACGATCGATTCAAGAAGTGGCTTCTGCAAATCCAACTCTATCTTCTACAGTAAACGCAAGCTCATTCCTTTACCTTCCAATCAGTCCCTTGATGTCACCACATTCATCTCCTCCCGTCCCAATCACGGCACCACCGCCTTCATCGACGCCGCCACCGGCCGCCGCCTCTCCTTCTCCGACGTATGGACCGCCGTCGAATCCGTCGCATTGGCTCTCTCCGCCATGGGGATCCGCAAAGACCACGTCGTCCTCCTCCTCTCCCCCAACTCCATCTTCTTCCCCATCGTCTGCCTCTCCGTCATGTCTCTCGGCGCCATCATCACCACCACCAATCCTCTCAACACCAGTCGCGAAATCGCCAAGCAAATCGCCGATTCCAAACCTGTTCTCGTCTTCACCATTCAACAACTCGTCCCCAAAATCGCCGACTCCAACCTTCCAATTGTCCTCATCGGCGAACACGAGCAATCAACTATTTCAAAATCAGCTAAAATTGTGACTACATTAGAGGACATGATGAAGAAAGAACCGAGTCAGATCCGAGTTAAAGACCGGGTGACTCAGGACGACACGGCGACTCTGCTTTACTCGTCCGGCACGACCGGTGCGAGTAAAGGTGTGGTGTCGTCTCACCGAAACCTAATCGCGATGGTTGAGACCATTCTGAGCCGGTTCAAGCTGGAAGCCGGCGGAGAGCAGACTTTCATCTGCACCGTCCCTATGTTCCATATCTACGGCTTAGCTGTGTTCGCGATGGCGCTATTGGCGTTAGGATCAACGATCGTTATTCTCTCAAAATTCGAAATGGACGAGATGTTTCTGGCGATCGAGAAGTACCGCGCGACGTATTTGCCTCTGGTGCCGCCGATACTGGTGGCGATGGTGAACGGCGCTGATCAGATAAAGCGGAGGCATGATATCAGGACGCTGAATTCGGTGTTGTGTGGCGGAGCGCCTCTGAGTAAGGAGGTGATAGAGGGGTTTGCGGAGAAGTATCCGGGTGTAGGGGTTTTGCAAGGGTACGGGTTGACGGAGTCGACGGGGATCGGGGCGTCGACGGATTCGCCGGAGGAGAGTCGGCGTTACGGGACGGCGGGGATGTTGTCGTCAAACATGGAGGCGAGGATTGTTGATCCGGAGAGTGGGGGTGGGGGATTAGGGGTGAATCAGACAGGTGAGCTTTGGCTTAAAGGTCCCACCATCATGAAAGGTAACACTAACGACAACACATACTTTTTTACCATCGTTCTTTATTCTTCTTCTTCTTTTTTTTTTTGGGAGGAAATATCAATTAGGGGTGCACACGATTTCGGTAGGAACCGAAATCATTCAGAACCGGAATCGGAACCGTATAGGTGGAACCGAACTGGAACATGGAACTGACTGTCAATGAAGATCTGAAGAGAAGATGAGAGGATGAGGAGTGACTAGTAAGGATGAAGATCTGAAGAGATGAGACTTGATTTGAAGAGGAGGCGAGGGCGATGGCTGATTGGCTGATGAGAGGACTCAGAGGAGGCGAGGGTTTAGGTTTAGATGAGAGGAGGCTGGAGGCTACGACTGAAGTCTGAAGCTTAGGGCAAAAAACAAAATTCAGAATCTCAGACAATTTCATTTTCGAACACCATGAACAAACAAACATCTACTTGGCAACTAAAAGTTCACATATAAAAAACACTAGTTTCAAAAACCAATTTGACTTGTTTCATTTTTCCACCGTTCTCTAAGCCACCAAACGAATGAAAAATAAGTAAAAGATCGGAAACTCATAACTCAAACCATAAGATCCAAACACTATTACCAACCAAACCTAATTCAACACCTGATTTACACCTAATTAACCACTTGAGCACAATAATTCAAAATTTCTTACTTTTTTCAAAATAAATCTAGAACAGTAATTACTTGAGAGAGGTTTAGCTTCAAAAGAATCGTCCCAATTCTTCGACGTCTTGACCTCCGGCGGAGTGAAACAAGCGACAAAAACTCCGGCAACCGATTTAGCGGGCGATCTTGACGGCGTGGCCTGGAGTTGACTTGTACGCGGAGGACGAGGAGGATACGGAGACGGAGCTAGGCGACCTGGTCATACGGACCTAGTATAGTTACTTTTTATATATATATATATATATATATATATATACTGTTTCGGTTCTTACATATTCCCACGGACTGAAATTAGAATAGTATGTCTACTATTTCTAAATTTAGAATCTAGATTGGAATCGAAACTGTAAGAACTAAAAAAAAAACGGTTCTGTTCTTTTATACACTCCTACAATTATTAGTGGTTGGTGTGTCAATTTAGTCCAACAGGCCCGAATCTTTTGAGCCCCAACTTTGATTGTTCTGGTTGACCCAAGACAACTAGTACTATATATACAAGTGTATGATTACATGTTTTTTTTTTTTTTTTTTGATAAGTACAAGTGTATGGTTACAATATTAATTTATTAGCATCATGCTCTTGACTCGGACTCTTCACGAGTAGTCAAGTACTCCATATGATGCATATTGTTCGAAGAATGTGATATATGTATAAATATTGATTTACATAAAAGCATTACTTTCTCTACAAAATAAAATTAAATGATTAGCAGTGTTCATGCAGGAGATTTGACACGTCCAATCAGCTTAAAATATCATAAAATAAAATGTAATTTGGTGAAATGAAGTCAAAAGAAAGGTTGTATAAAAGTTTAATTGATTCGTAAATGATCTGTTAGATGTGTGTCTCAATATTTGTACATTATCACAACAAAAAGACAGAGAGGTCATGACACCTCATTGTAGCATTACACAATATTTATATCTATTATCTATTGAAAAATGATATAAGACCTGATGTGAAAATTATTGATTGGGATAAATACCTTGAAAAGAGTGTCATTTTAAAAAAGAGTCCTTTTCAGACTCTGTTAATCGGCGTAACTACAAAAGCCAATTGGTTTTTATAGCATTACTCTTATACTATCCGGTGTATTGGCACTATTGTTATCATAAGTAACTGCTACATATATTGTGTTAGTAGTATATTGGCACTATTGTTATCATAAGTAACTGCTACATATATTGTGTTAGTTTTACTTATAATTTATGTATGATATGTCTTATAAGTAGTATACTGTATAACTAATAGGAAATGCTTGTAAATTGTATTTTAGTACAAGTATACATGACTTGCTAATTGTTATGCTTTTAGTTTATAAGCTTTTGTAGTACATGTTTTTTAAAATTTTACTTGTGTACTTAAGACTTGATAATACTAGTTTTTAAGTTGATGCTTGTTTGGTGAAGTTCGTACTTATTAATCATTTTATAAAAATATAATTAATATTATGGTACTTAGTATACCGGATAAAAATTGTATACTTGAATCGGAAATTTATTATATAAATCCATATGAATATATATATTTTTTTAGGATAAAGTGCTCTAAACCCTCCTGACTTTCTTCACTCTCCTTAAAAACCCTCGTGAACTTTAATGAATGCACTTAACCCCCTAGACTTTCCTATTTGTTGCAAAAAATAGAAATTCGTTAGTTGTCACCTACTTATAATTAACATTCAGTAATGGCACGTGACCCACGTGCCTTGGTAAAAATACAAAATACCATACATATCCTTATCACCGTTGAGTCCATTATATTCACCATTATTATATATATACATACCTTATATATTCATTCGAAGCAGGAAACCTTTAATAGGCTGAAAAATTGAAAATCATAAAAATATAGGATTTTGGGGAGTAATTTTATAAACCCATTTCCTTATCATTGATAATTGGAGTGTTAATCTGGGAATGAGGTAGCTATTTACGCTATTGAGTGAAAGATATAGAACTTCATAACTTCGGTATGGCCATCAGGAATTAAAAAAGTGAAGTTTTGATCGGATCCAATAATACGGGTCAATTCAGAACCGGATCTCTAAAAACCGGTTTTAGTAAACCAAGGTTGGGATAGCTTCACATCCGTAGCCAAACACCACTCTTCGGTCTGCAGAACTGGGTTGAACTAGATCTCTGCAAACTTGGTTTAGTAAACCAAGGTTGGAATAACTCCACATCCGTAGCCAAACACCGCTCTTCTTCACTGTTAACACCGACGAGGAACACAATCTGCATTCGAGACCGCCACAAATCAATTAACAGCCAAGGGAAGACGGTGAAGCCCCTGCAAATCTCTCGGCTACAGCAAAGAACCACACTCAATTTCAAACGAAGCCACCAACCACAAAATCATTCACAACGGCGAATACACAAGACAGCCACCGGCGTCAGCAAACGGAGAGGTCGTCGGTGGCTACACAGCACAGTCGATCTCTGCAAATTTCCGATCTGCACACTAGTTCACAACAAAGGCACAGTGATGACAACATCTCCTCGCCGACAATCCAGAAATGGTCATCGAAGAAGAAAAACGTCCATAGCACAATTTCAACCGCAAGCCGAGTTCGTCGACGCTAGGCGATCTCTTCACGAGCTAGTACACACCCAGCAATCAGGGTTGAGAGAGAAAAATTGGAAGCAAGAGGGATGGAAAATCACTGGAATTCTGAGACGAGTCAACGGTGTACATACGACTTTTTTGGCATATTGTTAACTTGGGACTTTTTGGCGCGAGAGAATGATACGTTCGGCGCCCATTTGATACAACCAATGTTATTGACAAGGTTAGGTGGGTACGTGTCTCTTCTTTATTAGTCCTAGAGATTATTATGCCATATCATCATCTGATAAAAAACCAACTATGACGACGTCGTTCAATTAAGGGGCTAAAAGGTAACTTCAATTTTCCGTTAACGGCTGCTTCACGGTTAGTCATTGAGTGCAACAAATTTATAGTTTAGAGAGTTTTGCTTCCTTTGGGGTTTTCTGCAATTGAGGTCATAGATTAGGGAGTTTAGTACACTTTACTCTATGTTTTTATGAACTTGTATACTTGCCAGTTCTTATTTCTTTTGACTAGTTAGTTACGCCCACAAAAGAAAAAAAATAAAAATAAAAAATGTGTGTTTGGTACTCTTTTAACCTGTTCAATGCCACATATAAAGTCTCTTCTGCAGCAAGAGTACCTGTTCTTATGTGCCATGTGTGGCCTACTTTATCTTTTTAAATTTCTTTTATACATTCCAATCATGTTATTTGTCAACTTGTACTATAACTTCACCTCGTGATATTGGAAAATTTCAGATTTTGCTAACTTTGGATGATTTTCCCATCAAAATTCTCAATTTTACCTGTGCCTATAAATCAAAGTTTGTGGAACCTGGTGATGATTGTATGCTCATATGAAATGCCAGTCGACTTTAACGGAAAAATAGGATTCATGTCCGTTCCCAAGAGAGAAAAGCTTTGTTGAGTTGAGTATGAAATGCCTTGACTGCTAGTGTTTTCCCAAACATACTGTAATCCTCAATAGCCCAAGAACCCTGGTTATTTACGTATCTTTTGCTATGATCTGTTTGCGATGATTTGCAATGAACTTTCAGATGTGATAGATTCTTAGGCACAAAGATGGCCCTGTCTGGCAATGTTGTACATTGTGTAGGTTCATTCATTGTTCACTAGTTGGAACATTTATGTTAAATCAATCTTGGAATGGTTCTTTACAGGTTATTTCAGTAATGTAGAAGCAACCACATCAACTCTAGATTCAGAGGGATGGTTAAGAACCGGAGATCTTTGCTACATTGATGATGATGGATTCATTTTTGTGGTTGATAGGTTGAAGGAGCTAATCAAATACAAGGGATACCAGGTGAATGTGATATTTAGTTACTAATTCCTCCCCAGCTGGCTGCCTTTATCAAACTCCTGTAACTTAATTTTAATTATACTTCTCACATTACATGGTTGGTTCATTTTCCTTTATAATCCGATCTGTCTATATATTTATAAAAAATGCATTTATCATGTTGATGATGCGAAGAAAAGTTGTCTTAGCATTCGAATTAAATAATTCTCATGAAGACTTTTGTTTAGTGAATATACTCTCATGGATTAGACACTTGAATTTTTTAGGTCCCCCCAGCAGAGCTAGAGGCTTTATTACTTACACATCCAGAAGTTGCTGATGCTGCTGTCATACCGTAAGTTTTTTCTTTTCCATCAGAATGGAAGACCTTGCAAATTCGATAACATAAGAGAAAATAACAATAATAATGTTCCTTTGTCAAGATTTTCTTTTCATGTTATTTCCAAAATAATTTTCAAGTTGTTTTTTTTTTCCCCAAGAACGCAATCAATCTCATATGGTCATTTGATGAACTAAGAGAGAACTTAAATTTGATATTTTGTATCTTAGATTCCCGGATAAGGAGGTTGGGCAGTATCCCATGGCATATGTGGTACGGAAAAGCGGAAGTGATGTATCCAAGAGTGAAATCATGGACTTTATTGCTAAACAGGTTATTTAAAGTTTAAACTGGAGTTGTTCAAACTATTACAGCCAGCCACTGACTTATTCCAAATTCTTCATCTTACGAGATTTGTGATGACTTACTAAATTGTTAAATTAACATGCTAATATATGCAAACAGGTGGCTCCATACAAGAAAATCAGGCGATTGGAATTTGTAAATTCAATCCCCAAGAATCCGTCAGGCAAGATATTACGGAAGGATCTGATAAAGCTTGCTACCTCCAAACTTTAGAGAAACTGGGTGTCTGCTTCGAAAGGATCAGGAAAGGTGATTGTACCGTTTAGCTCAATCCGTGTTAGAACTCATTTGCATACTGTAATATAGCTTTGCGGCTTGTTAGTTTTCTTTGATAATTATGCCTTGTATGTATGTATGTAGTATGTATAATAATACTAGAGAGCTTCTATCTAATAATGTCAAAATGGGCACTATTTGATTTACCTGTACGTTCATGAATTAATAAAATGCATGTTTTTGCTGATATATGTTTGTGTGTGTATCTGAAAACTTTTTTCTTCTTTTGTGCCATTTCAGTATTTTATGTTGTATGAAGAATGATCATTGATATGGTAATGGCAATTACATACTAGTTAATATTTCTTTATGTGAAAAGGTTATTTAGAGGTGGGGAATAAAAATAAGAGAAACTTCAGAAACTATTTTAATCTTCATTTAAAAAAGTGTGAGAATTATTTCTTGAACTCCTTTCAGTCTACAAGAGCATGGCATTGGCAAGTTCTACAAATTTCAACCGAAGCCCCTAAAACTATGAAACCCCATTACTTAACCACAGATTTGAGCTCGCCTCGATTGGCGGCCTGAAAGAGAGGAAATAACGAAGAAATCGAAGCTCCTCTGGAATCTGTGATTGAAACAAGTGCTTTATTCCTCCTTAGCAAACACAGAATGTTTTCCATCAGTTCCTCCTCACATGGAACTTGAAGTGGCCCGTGAATAGTCAATCCGAACTCTACCTCAGCCATCTCCAGTAGCACTCTGAAAATGGGGTGATTCAGATAGTAGAGAGGCACAACAAACCTTTTGCCTTCCTTTGTGTAGACAGCAAAATGACCCTTTTTTCTCTTCCTCCATTTCTCTATTATCTCACCATCTTCTTAGAAGGACTTGTCTTCATACTAAAAAGTTTTGGGGGTATCTTTGTGTTGTTGCTCAGAGCAGATTTGAAGCAAAGATGAGTGATGGGTCAGTTACAAGTACTTGTTACAGGTAATAGATATAGAAGGTTTTGTATCTATAGGTTGATGGCTTCTGGCGTTGAGGGATGGGTTTTGATTGGTTGGGACTTCTATTGGCAGTTGGCAGTTGGCAGTGTGCTAAAAGGTGACGTTAATGTGATAAGATTGTAGATTGGTTGAGAATGAAGGGAATGAGATGGCCTGTGACTTCAAATTATATTGAAATTATGTTCTTGATTTGTTTCGAGAGTAAATTACATTTATCTCCCCTGGTGTTTGGAGACACTATAAATAGATAGACCGTTCAACTGGTTGAGAATGAAGGGAATGAGAGGGCCTGTGACTTCAAATTATATTGAAATTATGTTCTTGATTTGTTTCGAGAGTAAATTACATTTATCTCCCCTGGTGTTTGGAGACACTATAAATAGATAGACCGTTCAACTGGTTGAGAATGAAGGGAATGAGAGGGCCTGTGACTTCAAATTATATTAAAATTATGTTCTTGATTTGTTTCGAAAGTAAATTACACTTATCTCCCCTGAGTTTGGAGACACTATTCACAGATAGACCTTCAACGGTTATTACTTTGACTTCTTAAGGTTTCCACAAATTCATTAATTGTTTGACAAAAAGTGATTTTGAGTATGAAAAGTCAATAATATCTTGATTTTTATACAATGGAAGAGCAAAATTTTTAAAGTGTGTTGGGACAGGTTTAGAGCAGTTTTAAGGTTCCTACCAAAGTCTCACTTCATTTTCTCAATCACAGCATTTCAATAGCAAAACCACAACTCGCAGGGTCATTTCGGTAGACAGTTTACAATTTTGGCTTTTATCCTTCTTAATGCTCATCATATATACCCATCATTCCATCACTAATAAATAAATAAATAAAACCCATATGTCTTCCATTGCAAATCTTCCCCCTTACTTTCCCTGTCCATCCCACTCATCATCATCTACCCATTACCATCTCACTGTGCGTAACTCATCACAAAAATTCCATCATTCCATGTTACCAAATTCAATTAATTTCCTCCAACTCTTACTCTTTTCCTCCCTCCATCTCTCCATAATCCACCACCAAATTACTTCTATCTTCCCATAATCCATTATCATTCGACACAATCACCACCTTTCCTAGCCCATTAGAATAATTTCAACTCATGGAAGATGACATTGATGAGCACCTCTTTGATTACTTGGTGGGTGAGCTAACCCAACACCGAGCTGAATTTCAAGAAATTCGTCAGGATCAAAGATCAATGATAGACATGATACACGCGCTTATGATTCATAATGAACTTACTTCCGACGCTCCGCCGCCTCCATTTTAGCTCTCCTATCAGGTGCTTTCGTTCTTTGTTTTTATTTTATTTTTAGTTATTATTTTGTTGCTTTTGATTTTTGCCCAGTGAGGACACTATCTAATTCAAGTTTGGGGGCATAGAGTCTACTCTAGATTTAATTCAAAAAAAAAAAAAAAAATCAATTCTTTTTCTTTGGGATATTGACTTTAATTCAAGTATTTGAGAATTGTTGGGGGGATTAAAACACTTAAATAATTTTTAAAATTCTTTTTTGAGATCGTCTTGAATCCTTAATATTCGTGTTTTATCTTATGTGGGTTCCATTATCTAGTATTATAGGAATTTTAGTATTTGTAGTCCCTAATGGATTTCACATGCACACTAGAATTTTATCTATGGGTATTTCTATTTTTGGTTGAATTCTGATGAACATTGATGGATATGAATTTGTGAACTTTGAAGGTTCTTACTATGGCATATATATAAAGAAGAAGAAGAAAAATTTGAAATAAATTGATTTGATTTGTCTAGGTTTGTAGCCTAGTTGACTTGAGCAATTAAGTCTTTAGGAGTGTCTTAACACCTAATGCCCTAAAACTATATACTTTGGGAGTCATTGGCTGAAAGCCTGTTACATGAGTCTTCTAGAAAGCTTAATAGACCAAACATTGCACAACCAATCAATACAATGTGTGTAAGAAAAGAAAAATATTTTGTCATAGAAAATAACTTGAGAAGGGATCTGAATAATTGAAGTTATAGAAGTTGGGTTCAATTGAAAAGACATTACTACATAGGTGATTTGCTAGTTCACAAATTTCACAACATTAGGTATTGATTTTGCTATTGTTCTTGTTATACAAGTGTGTGGGAAATATTGGGATGAAGTATGAAAATAAGGACAAATGAGTATTGTCAGTTGATAATTTTTAAAGTACTTTTGTGTAGTCTTCCCCTTGATTATTGTGATGATATAAAAATAAGTTGATTGCCAAATGATTGAATTATGTTGCATGTTTGTGGATATCATCTCTGGAAACCCTCACGAGACTTCACTTGTCCACTAGGGGTTTAAAAGACTTGTTGCATACGTTAAATGCAATCATGATTCCCACGAAAACGGCATTTATGTTTTCTTTAGTTTTTTATGCTATGGGACTAGCAATATTTAAGTTTGGGGGTGTGTTAGGCACTGAATGTTATATATTTTAGCCCATTTACTTGCATGTTTTATTCTCTTAATAGTAGTTTATTTGTGATTTTACATTGTTTTATTGTTTATATTTATTTCAGGGCTTTAATTGTAAAATCAGTCAAAACCAGTGATTCCAAGCTTTAAAAGATGACATTCTGTTGGACCGAGTAATGTTGAAAATCCAAGTCTAATTATACTTAGAAAATAGTCCAAAAGAAGTCACAAGTTGATGCGAATGGAAAGAAGAAAAAAAGGAAAAATCATTTTCCAAAAAGGAAACTTTCGCCAAAGTTGGTAACTTGAACCCATTTTGGTAATCTGGCTGTATCACCCTCCTCGAGTGTCAAAACAGCTAAATTCTTGTGTACGTTGAAAGGAAATTCGAAGAGTTACAATTTTGTATTTCACGATAATTCCATAAAACAGTTGTTTACCTTGTCAAAATTGGGCTGGAAGTCTGTACGAATTTTGGAGTCCTTGTTTGGCAGAATTTCTATGTATGTCTTCTATATGAAAAATGGAACTTTAGGACTGATCTTTTATTATTTAAAGGGAGTCCTCTACAGCATTGAAGTGTCATTATACAGAGGAGCTTGAGGCTGAGATCAGAAAAGAAGCATTCAGAAGCAAGAAAGGATCAATCCATGGCGGTAAAGATGTCTTCCTCAACTATGAAGAATTCCACTCCAGTCATGCTTGGCTAAACGTTTTGCTAGGGTTGTGATGTAGCTCCAGCTTAGCACCACTGGTTTGATTGTATTTATTTATTGGAGAACAATTATTATAATGCATAATTGTGTAATCTATAAGGTTTTTAATTGAATTTTCAATAAGAATCGGTTTTAAAGTTTTAATTCAATTACAAATATTTTTCTATCTTGTCTTAGATATTTGAATCTTGTAATTAAACACAACTTATGCACTTCTTGTAGTTGTGAATGAGATGATTATACAATGGTATTTCTCTGAATATAATGTTAAAGATTTGATGGATTATGCCTAAAAAAGATAGATCATGTTACACCCTAGAGTATAGTAGTTAGACAGATGATTTATACCAATCGAAGATAGTCCATGCTTAGCTTTAAATTATATTATTTTCTAGTTGAATTAATATGTGATTCTAGCCATGATTAATTCCCTATGCATGTTATATGATATATTTCTAATAAATTAATACAATTAACTGGTGGTGCAACGTTAGTGGTGAAGTCATTCCCCTAGTTTTCTCTCTCTATTTTCTATATCCTATTCAATTATTGTTCTCATTTTATTTTTTTTCTACTTAGTTAAATTTAGAATAAATCATTACAATCTGATTATCCTACTTTCAAGTTAATTTGAAATTAAAAAATCTGTAGACAAACTTATTTTACACAAGTCATTTGGGTACGACACCCTTATAAGTAAGCCCTATCTGCAGAGATTCGTGCACTTGCGAGTGGTACATATAAGTCTCAACAGCTATATATGGCAATACTTTTGACAATCCCAAAATATGAGACATCTTTTGAAAGCCCAAGTGTATTATTTTCATTAACCTGTTATATTTTGACTTTGAGATCGAGGCCCTTTGAGAGGGCATTGGAGATGTTCTACACATTCCAAATTAGACGAAACCTACTGTTCCATGGGATTCGAGTCCAAAAAAATCCCCTCTAGTGAGATTTCACTGTGCAGAGATTGTTACCATTTTCCTACATAACTATGTTTAAAAATTACTAAATGTAAAAAGAAAAAAAAATTATGTAAATTATACTTACCTCTCTTGAGGTTTGGATAAATTACACACATTAATCGTTCAACTTTTATTATTTTGATCTCTCTAAACTCGTTCACCGGTGACTTTGAATGTGAAAAGTTAATAATGCCCTTATATTATATATTATATTACATATATTTGTTAGTCTAAAAATTCAAATAACTCATGTGTAATTTGTTTAAAATTAAGAAGAGGTTAATGTAATTTATCGTATTATTTTTTTCAATCAAGGGAAGGGTAAAATTGTGATTTTATAAAATATGATTAATAGGTTTACTCGAAAGAAACGCATTAGGAGTTTCCATGAGCACATATGTGAAATTTCAAGGACGGTCAAAATAATAAATGTTAAACAATAATTTGTCCAAATCTCAAAAGAGATTAGTGTAATTTACCCAAGAAAAAGAAAATTAAAAAAAAAATTAAAAATAAGGCTGAATGTTAGTTTATGATATCTTCTCTTCATTTTAGACCATAGAAGAAGAAGAATTTGAAAACTATTTTGAAAAGAGTACTGCTACACGGGCCACAAAAAAAAATAATAATAATAATAAATTGTGACATGTATCTCGAATTAAAAAAAAAATAAAACATTTTAACACAAATTTTTTAATTATTTTCATCTGTCTACTTTGAAAATTGTGA